TAGATGTAAGTATCATACTACTGGTAATCATACTTTTGTTAAAATTAAAAATTTAATTTATACTTTATTAAACTAAATTTAATTTATTTTATTTAGTTAAATTTAATTAAAATTAAAATTTATATTATATTATATTTTATATTTTATTTTAAAAAATTATAAAATATTTTTCCTAAATATCATTGAATATCTACAAATAAACATAAATTTTAAAAAACCTAATAAGCCTAATTGAGTTCAGGCATGGTAGGAGCATCTTGACATGTGGAGAAAAGATTGGATGATGTTTTACTTTAGGACTATTGGGATGCCTATTTCTTACTAACGCATGAAATAATGTCCATTGTGATTGCTTTATTGGTAACACTACAACTCATAGCAAGAAAAGGAATACTTTGTGGAAAACAACTTTTTTTTTGTTCGTAAATGAATTTCCAGGAAAACGATGAAATTAGGCTCAGACTTTGGTTTCTTCATATAAACTAGAAAACTGATGGCATACTCGACTCCGACCTAACGTACAAGCACATACCTTTCGTGAACTCAATAAGGAATTACCTAACATACATGTCAGAACGTTTCATTACAATCAACTGTGAAGTTTATGGAATCAATTAATAACTAAATCAGAAACTAATTTAAGCAGCTGTTTACATTAACATTTCATTGCTGTGTGGACCCATTTTAGAGCTTATATAGTGTGATTGATTTAGTAATAACTTTTACTAATTAAGTTTAATGATCAATAAAGAGACCCTGCTACCGAGCACCTTCGTTACTTGCAAATAAATAAATAAGAAAAAGTGTGCGAAAGAAATAGCTACGTTTTGATATCTGAATCACTCTGAATTTCTTAAGCCTTGGAACTTCAATTCTTGCTTAAGTCAGGCACATGATTGATCCGTGCAACACTACAGAAAATGGTACCTTTTAAGAAAAACTGCGTATATGCTTCAATTATATTCTCGTGCAAATTAACCATAAATGTCTCGTTTAGCTTAATAGGGCTTGAAAGTTTTACAATTCATATTTTCTTAATAAATTCATGAAAACATAGAAAAGATATGTAAGAGATGGCATGTAGTTGATTGCTTGAAGGGAAACACAAGTGAGTGATGATGGAATGATTGGTTTGTTGCATAAGGCATATGGTGATAGAATGAGTTAATAGTTTTCGAATTTGACACGGACAGAATTCCTTGTTTAGAAAGATGAGAGGATTTGGGTTGTACAACAATGTATGTTGCTTTCGCATAATTAATACGATGATGTCGATATGCAAGTGGGATGGCACTTTGCACTCATCCAAATTTCGTTGAACCACCCCCACACCATTAATTAGCCTTCCATTTTCTACCATTTCAACATATTCTACTTACACAAACTTTCTCATTTCCTATTTCTACCCAACCCTTTTCTCTCTATACATCCCATGCCAAAATCAACAAAATATCCAACATTTTTTCTTACAAACATTATCATACTATTTTCTTACAAAATTTTTGAATTTTAATTAAACTAAAAAAAAGAAGAAAGATCCAAATTGCATGTAATAATTGAAGGAGAACAAAACTACAGTTGAACATAAAACTGCAAGAAAGAGTAAAACATACGAAGAAATTAAGAATAATTAAAATATAGGGAAAGTGTTATATAATCTTATATTTTATAATGTCCAAATTCTACACATAAATTATGGTAGAAAAAGATGAAGTGTTTTCATCTTCATTCATCACAAATGTATTTAAAAGGTTAGTTTATGAAAGATATGGTTTTCTTATTGGATGTTATTGCAGACTGACCAAACATCAGAATGTTCTCCACAAGAGGAACACAACATCACAACTTTGAAAGTAATTAATTCCATCCGGTTCAAATTATTACCATGATCAAAGATTTGTCTAACAATTTCAATACCCTAATCATGAGACACTGGTTGATATGAATAGGGCTGCAATGGGCCAAGGCCTTTTAAGAAGAAAGGGAAGGAATAATGCAGATTATTTTATGGACAGAATCAAACAGAAGAAAACAGAGAGGGCCTGTAGATCCATCACTCAACTTGCTCTCTCCACTTTTATCTTTTTCTCAAGTGATTGAAATGTATATAAATTGTGGTGCAAACAACCACTTCTTTGTGGAAGAATGATGCAAACTCCATTGGCTTAATGCTGTAAAATGCATCATTTTCTTCTTGACTTTCTTTGTCTTTTTCCTACTCTAGAAAAATCCCATCATATTTCCCCTTCTATATGCAAACAAAATTAATACTAAACTGATTCATTGGTGAAAAAATAATTCATCTAAATATGGTTTTTAAGACAAAAACTAGCAACTTCAAGAACTCTAGCTTTTTTAAGTATATTTAATTTATCTTCATCCTTTTTGTTTTTAGTCTTTTTATGATCATTACTACTTTTCTTTTAAAGAAAATGTTAAAAATTAAACTTTTAACTTAACTTAATCTTATAAATTTAATTTGTAAGATGAGGTTTGTACTTACTTATATATTATAATTTAGTATTATTTTTAGTTGATATAGAAATTTCAACACACACTTCTCGTGTCAAAATACATCTCATGTACAAAACAACAATAAATTCAATAAACATCTTTTAAAAAATAAATTTTGACCTCTGATACTATATTAAGAAATTAATTTTAAGAACTTAGAATTACACATCACAATCATAATTTGTTTTAGAATGAAAACTTAAAAGAAACTAACATCCCAAATATTTACTTATTTATTTATATATTTATTATTATGGAGAAGAAAATCTAAAAATCAATATATGATTTTCGTTGGCAACTTATAATACATGGTATATTCTTAATTTTCATTTTCACTTATGAGTAAATATTTATATTTTGTACAACATATTTACACTTATATTAAAACAAAATTTAAATACAATACTAAGGTAATAAATTTAATCATATATTTAATACTATTCAAATATGTTGTATTAAGAACATATTTCCTTAAAAAAATATAAATTTTCATATTTTATGAAACAATTTATAACTGAGTAATTTTCTTTTAGATATTGTTAGTATATAATAATTAAATAGTTTAATTTTACATATATATATATATATATATATATATTTAATATTTCTATGTTATTTTTACATATATGAAATAAAAAAAGTAGTATTATTTTAATAAATATGTAAAACATATATGGTATTTTATTAAAAATATAAGGAAAGTGAGTGACTTCTAAAACTATAAGGGATGTAATCGCTATTTATTTAAACTTAAGAAATATAGTTGCTTGTTTTATAACTAAACGAGTATTATTTAATATAATTTCATGAGAGAAAATAAGTGTATTTTCCTGAAAGTAACTGATGACTTTGATCAATCATATAACTCAGTACAATTCATTGAATCAATGAAAAACAGTCTAGTTGTTGAATATTTGGCTAGTTCTGAATATTTTTTAAATTTAGTATTGTGCTATATTTTATATCTAAATTATTGAGGTCTTAATTTCTAATAAGGATTCTACTTTTTATTAAATATACACTTTAACTCGACTAAACAATGGTCTAACAAGATTAAATCAGATAGATAAATAAAGGTAAGAAGCAAATTAGTACAAACATTAGAAAAAAAGAACAGTCAGTATTTCCTATCTTATTCTTTAACCGTGACAATAATATAATTTTTATTAAATCTAAAACACTGTTAAATACTGCTTATAAAAACATAGTAATTATTCAAATAATCTCGTCTTATTACTTAGGGGCTTCTTTTTCTTATGAATGAGGTTTCCAGTGACGGCTGGAGTCACCGGCGGTGGCTTTGGTTCGGTGGAAGACGTGATGGAGTTGAGTGACCAGCAAAGAGGGAAAAATGAAACCCTAGATGACATTTTGTTTTGGAGAAGAGGATGAATTTGGAAAAATTGAATGTTAAAAACACTCCAACATAATTAAAGTTTTCATTTTTTTAATTTAATATTTTAAAAATTAGTAATTTTAATGACACGTGGCCAAACGTGAGTGTGTAGAGTAAAATATTAGCAAAATTTTAAGGCTGATACATTTTAGAAACTAAAATAATTACTTTTAGAAAAACGAGAATAAAATTATTTAAGTTTAAGGTTTCGCACATGAGTTTTTCAAAATGACTTTCTGACTTTCTCCTCTTCTTATTCCTCTGCCGTAATATTGGAAACAACCGAAGCACAGTGATTTGATACCGTAAAAGAAAGTATTTTATCCCTTTTCTTCTGTTAATATTGGACTTCATTTAGTACTGCTTGGGCGAAAGGGTCACCACTCGGCCCAACTCTAATTCCAATTTTGGGCCTGAAAAAAAAAACGAAGAAAGAGTTACTCCCTCCACCACCACACACAACTTCCTCCACCTCCCCCATTCCTCTTTTGTCATTCACTAATATTTAATTTCTATTTTTATTTTTTTACCCAACAACCAAGCACTTCATTAATGTCCCCACCCACCATTATATGCACCTCCACAACAGTCAACCACTTCCGCTTGAATGAAATTCCTCTCAATTTTCTTCTTCCTATGATTTTTGTTTGCTGAAAAGTATGGTGGTGTAGTGTGGGGTTATTGTGGTGTGTTTGGTTGGAGATAGCAAAGCTTCGTTGCGGTGCAGTGATTAGATTAGAGGAAGTGGCAAAGCTTAGTAGTGGTGCAAGAAGGTGCAGTGGTAGGAGGTGGTGGTTGAAGGTAGTCCTACAAGTTTCACAAGTTTAAATATATAAGTCTAACAGATGTGGATATGAGTTGCTTCTTAAACGCATGTCAAGATTCGTGAAAGGATATCCACATCTGTTGCACACAATGTGAGTGTCACTCAAATTGAAATGTCAAATTCTTCCAACCCCAGACACTTTCTCATTCCTTCTAATGCTTCGGGCACTGGAGCTGAAGCCAAAGTGTCGGAATATCCCTCTGGTGGTTGTGATATTGCTGAACCAGGATATCTTAGAGGCAAACTTGTCGGAGTATAACCTTTTCACTCAGATTCCTCTTCTGAAGAACCAATCAGCGAAGTGGCCGATGTTGGAGCCTCAACCGGGGGAACGCGTAAGGAAGCGAATTTCAGAACTGGAGCAATAACTGGTTGGTTCGACGACGAGTTAGGACAACTTCTTAACGAATCGGAGGAGCCAACTACACCAACGAACGCGAAGGAGAATGAGAAGGATAAATGTTGGATCGGGGACTTAGAATTCCGGCGAGGCCGTGAACGGAGAAGTAGTGGTCGTAATAGAGGTCGGGGAAAGCAACGTCGACACCGCTGACGGCGATGGCAAAGGTATTGCGGCGCGTAAGTTGGAGAAGGCATTGAGGGAGGAGCGTGGGAAGCGTGTAACCGTCGGGGAGGAGGCGGAGGTAGGCGAGAGAGAGGCGGCGAGGGACGACGTGGAAACGGAGCGTGTCGGTGTAAGTGGAGGCGATCTGAGTCATGTTGAGGGCAAAGAGGGATGCGCCTGTGGGAGCGAAGAAGGTGAAGGCGCGCGAGGTGGTGTTGTTGTCGTTCTGGTGAGAGAGAAAGTCCATTTGAAGATTAGAGGTGACGATTGCCTTGTAGAGGTCGTAGCCTCTGGCCCTTACGGTGCTCAACATGAATCAAACTCTCTTTTGGGCTTGCACCTTACGCTAATTGCCTTGCACCAACCGGGGGAGTGAAAGTGAAAGTGAGAGGGGATTTGGGTTTTAAAAGTTAAAAAGTAAAATAGGCAAAGGTAAAAATAAAAAGGGTAGGATTGAAATTTAAGAAAAATGGGAGAGGTGTTGGGAGAAGATGGGGTGATGGAGGGAGTAACTCTCAAAAGAACAACATATGTTTTTTGGTCGGCAAGCCCATTCACAATTTAAGTCTGAGTTGCAATCTTATGGATGTTACTTCCTGCACCGTATCAATTTTCTTCCAGCACCTCTTCCCAAAAAATCTTCCTGGAAGTGATTTCATGCATTGTGAAAAATAAAATCTGAAATATGGAGTGCAAGAAGTAACAGCCCAATCTCATTGGCTATGTCCTTCCTAATTCATATGCCCACTTCTTCTTTCAAGACATTTTCTATCACTTTCATACTCATTCATTGTAAACAGATTCATGTAATATAAATGCTTGAAGTTTAAATTTCATTTAAAAACATTATGTACCTTAGTCAATAGATTTTAAAATTAAGCTTAGTTTATTTAAAATATAATATAAATTTCCCTTTTTATTTATTTATAATATTACTACTGCTTTTCTTATTTTCACCAAAAAATATCTCTCAACAGATAATCATAAACTTGTTTTGAGATTATTGAAGTAAACGTTGTATTTTATAGCAAATTTTTTCTTTATATACAGGGCCATAAATCGAATACACGACAATATACTCAACAAATTTTGGTGTTTATATTGTATGTTGGACTTTGTATGTTTCATTATTAGTTTCCTTTTTGTCAAATCTTTTCGTGTATTTTTTATATATAAACTTTACACGGGTAAACTTGTTAAAAGCAATGATTTGTAATAATTGGCACTCGATGCAGCTTGAACATTACAGTTAAACTCTTTAATTTTATGACCACTTTCTTACCGCCCAAAATCACTGTAATGATGTCAGTTTTTGAACAATATTCATTCATTCATTACGCTCCACACCCAAAACATTCTAACCATTCATTATCTACGCGCAACAACCAAACCACGACATTTTTTCATATGGCCAAACAAATTATTTTGACAAAAATAACTAATATCTATGATTTTACAAATTGTTCTATAACAAATTTTATATTTTAAAAATGTTGTATAATGTTTTATCTTCACGAAACTTTGATAAGAACAAAACTAAGACACATCATCCTGTGATTTTTAATAAAAGAATCACGAGTGCTTAAAAAAAGATGTTCTTATTTTACCTGAGATTGTTTTCGTATCCCCTTTTAAGGTAATTCATAAAGATGTTTTACAAGACAGGACAATGAGAGGGGAGAAAAAGGTTCGTAAAAATCGTATTCTGCAACTCTTACTGTTTCAAGTTTGTACTAACTAACATTGCTAATTCCGTTTTTCACCATCTACCGTTATTCTATACACACAATATTACAATATCACTCAAAAGAATAACAAACTCTCGCACGTGCTACAGTGCGCATGCACGTGGGTTAGAATTCCGTTAGAGAAACATTTCTCTTTAACTGCCACGGCGGCGATGATGGGAACGCCGACGGTGACCCTGACGGTGACGGTGGCACCGATCTAAGATTCTGAAAGTAACCCCTAATATCCATGCCAGAATTCCCGGCGAAAAGCTTCTCCATCGACTCCGCGGAGCCATCGTCCCGCGACGGAATGAACGGCGGCCGCACAACCTCGGTTAAATGGTCCCATTTCACCCCTCGGAAGAACTCATGCTCCTTGATCTCCGCAGCGCCGCGCGTGTAACCCAACCGCCTCGTCGGATCCTTCGTCAGGAGCTTCTCGATAAGGTCCGTTAGCGCGGTTCTCTTGCCGACGAACTCCGGCGCCTTGATGAGGACGTTGCGGAACGTTTCCTTACGATTCTTGCCTTTGAACGGCGTCGTACCGTAGAGCATTTCGTAGATGAGTATTCCGAGGGACCACCAATCAACGGCGAACTCGTGGCCGTCGCCGCGAACGACCTCCGGCGAGACGTACTCCTCGGTGCCGACGAACGAGTTGGAGCGCTCGCCGTTGGAGAAACTCAGTTTTCGTCTACTCACCGGGCTGACTCGCGCGGACTTGGCTTTCTTGAGGGCGTTGGAGTTGGCCTTCCTACGGTTCCCGTCGAGGGCAGGGAGGGGGATCCAGCGGGAAAAGTTGCGGCGGTGTTTTCGGCGGGGTTCTTTGAGCTTGGGATTGGGCACGGGCATCGAAGGAAGAAGGGGTTTGGGTTTGAGGGTGAGTTTGCGGGAGAGGTCGAAATCGGTGAGGGTGATGTGGCCGTTGTTTTGGATGAGGACATTTTCTGGTTTGAGGTAACAATATGCTATGCCCATAGAATGGAGGTGGTGGAGCGCGCAGAGGATTTCTGCTACGTAGAAGCGGATGACGGTGGGGGAGAAGGCGTGGTCGGTTTGACGGTAGCGGAGGACGTTGAGGTCGCCGCCGGGACAGTAGGGTAGGGCCCAGGCTAAGAACTGTGGGGACTCGAATGATCCCAGGAGGGTAGGAAGAAAGGGGTGGGAGAGAGTTGAAAGGACTTGGATTTCCCAACGCGCGCGGCGTTCGGCGTCGCGCTTTGCGTGGATGCAGGTTTTGTCGACGACTTTCAAGGCGAAGGGGAAGTTGTTGGTGGTGGTGTCGTGGACGAGGAAGACGGTACCCATGGCACCTTTTCCTAGGACTTTGAGAGCTTTGAGGTTGTCGAGCTCCAGCTCCTGCAACGGGGGAGGAGCTGTTGTCGCCGAATCCATTTAGCGGGAATGGAAGGAAGACAGATTAATGCTTCAGGTTGTGAATTCAAGAATGGGGTGTTTCTTTTTTATAGATATACCCCATTATTATTATTTTTTTCTTTATTCTCATTATTATGCGTTTAATCACACTTTACTCAAATCTTATTCATCTCACCAAAGTCATTTCCGGTCAACTTTACCCTAACAGAATTACTTTTATTTTTAACCTTAATTCTGGTCATTTGTAAAATGGTTCTGTTCCATGCAACTTCTTTTTTCCTTTCCTCACATTCGTTGTCTTTGGTTGTTACACATTATTTTGAGATATATATGTCCTTCATGAATACACCAAGGTTACGTAAAGCGTTGAAACATATAAGTATATACATGAAATAAAAAATAGACAATGTCAAATAAGTGATTTTTTTTTTTTTAATTCAAACATTTTTTTTATAATATATTGTAGAACACAAACACTGTTTTGTATTGCGGATTTCTTGCAGATGAGGTGAGCAAATCACTTCTACAATACTCAAGGGCCCTAATTCTTTTAAAAATATTTAGGGTGGCATGGCATTTAAGTAACGTAATTCAGATGCGTCTAAATTAATTTATTAGAATAATAATGCGCTACCGCTACGTATCAATTAGAATAATGACAAAAGTAATAATAATGATAATATTGTTATTAATAATAAAATATAAAGAAAACATAAAAATGTATTGATTGATTTACTATCACGACAATGAACTCAAAATGTAAAGCAATTGAAAAGACTTTTGATGGACTCAGTACATAAAGCAATTCAAAATATTCAGCACATGTTTCTTAACTAGAACCTCCAAGAAGGAGCGTACAAAAGAAGACGAAGAAGAATTAAACTAGTTAACTCATGGGTTTTTTTTTTTTTTTTATATAAAATTATAATGGAATTCTATAAGATAACAATAATCGGGATAATTCTTTGTTTGAAGATACTTTATAATTTTGTTAATGTTACTATGGCTCATAGCCGACCGAACGGTGAAGGTGCTGAAGAGTCGTTCGACCGATGATACTTTTCGGGCCGATGATACCTCTCAAGTCAATAATCGATCGGTAAAATCAGCCCGACCGATGATATCTCTCAGGTGAGTGAACCGATCGATTAAATCAGCCGTTAAGGTAATTAATAAGTAATAACTGTCGGAGAGTTAATGAAAATAATTGTCATTTATTGTCGAGTACAGGTAACTTGAACTTGAACTAAACTTAGAGCTCTGATGACTAATCTTGATTACAAGATTACTATGTAAGGTCACTGATTTGAGCGTCGGAGTGTCTTTTGCAGGCATCCTCCCCCGCAGCTTGGACCAGGAGAAGAGAGAAGACATCACAACTGGACATCAGAGCAGACAACTTTTGAATATTTCGGATTAGGGTTCTAAATCCAGCTGAAACAGTATAAAGAGTTAGTTTACTGAATTTTTCTAGGGTTATTTTAGATGGAAGATACTTTTTTATTATATGGACTGCTATCTTTATCTCCTATAACATGTGGTTTCTTTAAACTGATTGTGTATATTATATTTTGCTTCTAAATTGGTTGATGTATCCTAAGTATATTGACATTTATAAATTATTTTTGACTAAAAAGAAAAAAACAACTTTGATGTAGATGTTAAACGCAAACTGTGGGTTTAATTAACACATGAGAAACTTTTATTACCAAATAAGAAATAGAGTTCAATAACTTAATTAAGATATGACAGCTTAATTTTAACTAAACAATTAAAATCTAACTACCAATAGTTCTGGAAGCCAGCGAAAAAAAGATTTTGTTTTTTAATGATAAGAATACATAAATACAGTAATAAGATGAAAAAAAAATGAGAAGCATGAGTGGAGAATAGGAGTAAGATAAAGCAGAAACGCAGGGTGGCGTGAGAGGATGATTTCACTTGTAGAAATGAAAGGAAGAAAAGGCACACGTGCAAGACAAAAAGAAAAAGATGCATAGAGCCAAACAAAAATGATAAACACAGATTGGTGTTACGATTATCACATGGGGGCTCCCCTAATCTAAGGGAACGTGCATCCGATATCATTTCACCACTGCTTCTTTCCTTAATTATCAATTAATAAAACACCATTTATACTTAATTCCATTTTCTTTCCAACCAATTAATAAACAAACTCCAAATTATAATCACCTTAATAAATTAC